ACAGTACGAATTCTCAACATCGCCAAACAAGTGCTTCCACAATTCTGGAGGCATCGATAACACCCCCACTGACAACATGGTTCACCCAAATGGAAGAACTTAGAGCCATAGAAGAACTTCACATGAGCGCAACTAATTCCTCAGACAAATACATGGGAATATGGGCACACTGGCTACTAACAACCACTAAGGCAGACTTCATGAATAGGCTTAAATACGACACATAGGCAGTGAGGCGGCGAGGCTGCGCAGATGGAAGACATAAGAGATGAAACAGACTGATACACCTCTGACAGCAACATATTCCCCCCCCCTGGACAGCCCACTCCTGAAACCCACCCCACGCCACACATAACTCACCACGGACTCTAAACACGGACGCTCAGGCCCAAGGGAATACCACCTCTAGGAGACACAGGTGACCACATCACCCAACACGAAGTCACACAAACTCACAGAAACACGGCACACAGAGGCAGACAGAATCCACAGATGGCTCCTACCAAGACAATGCCTAGGGCACAAACTGGACACACACGGCATCGCAACAACAACCCAGTCACATTGGGCAGACCAAACGCGACAAACACAGCTACACGCCAACGCACCAATTCAGACTAACACGCACCCGACATACAAATCTAAGCCGCAGAAACAGGAAACGACCCACGAGACATAACACACAACCAAACTGTATGCCTCTACACCACACGCAAGTGGTTTACGCTTACCTTGGGCCTGTGTGCCGCATAAAGGACGACAGATGCGAGACCTGCGTGTCTCCACACAACCGGAATTTTATTAAGTTGAACATCTGAGAGTTTATAAACATAATCTGTACTGAAAAGGTAGCAGTAATGTAATAACATTTTATACGCCTAAGGGGACCTGCGAATTACTTCCACTTCAGAAAATCACACTTTTTATGGAACTTCCAAGTGAAAATTTCTGGAAAATCTTTTAGATTTTTTTTTCTTTACTGCTCAAGTGTGAAGCTTAAGCACCAAAGCTTAAGCAGCAACACAGTTGGTCTGAATGAGTATAATCATTACAGTATGAATACGAATTTTTGGTTAATAATCTATGGGGTAGCGGCACTAACAGGTTTTAGTATATGTAGTAGATAACAATGAATTTCAAAGCATATAAAATAGTCTGTTTCTGCTTTTCTGACTGTTCCCTATCTAATGCAAATTCTTAAATGCTTATTATGCTAGTCGTAGGTTTTTTCCCAAAACAAATACAGCATGAGTCAAAATTTATTTATTAAACTCCCTACACGTATATGTAATCACTTTGTATACTTTATATGACATCATATCGTTTAACAATCATGTGTTAATAGAATTAAAAACAGATTTGCTATATAAAAAAATGACTACCCAGACCTAGACAGTTTCAGTCTGAAGTCCCATTCATTTTAATATCTGCAATGTGTAAAACATTGACAAAGTTTTTCTAAAACGGGTGACTAACTGCCCTGCTATACAAGCTTTAATAAATTATTCTGGAAGTAAAGTGCAGAATCCACACTGACTTGAAAAACCATTGTTACAAGTGCAGAGGAGATGGCATGAGCTAGGTAGACACCAAGGTAGTTTGTCAAACCTTAAGTAAGTAAGGACATTCCTAGTACCATAACTACTACAATAGGCTTGGAGTGTTTCTTCAATAAATATGTTAACCAATTATGTCACATTTGTACCACTCACTGCAACATGTTGATTTATCTATGTCATGATATACCTGTAACATGTATCAAGATGGGGACTTTCATATTTCATCCCAAAATATTGTGGCTGCTTCCTTAAACCATACTCTAATAGTGCCCAGCTGCACTTATTTTTAAAATTAACGTAAGTGAAAGATAATATATCCTTCAGGTACTACAGAAAATGTTTAATATGCACATGGGACATCACATTCCATATCGATTGGGAACATTATCTTTGTTAAGGTCTGTATTATCTTTAAAGGACCACTCTAGGCACCATGACCACTTCAGCTTAATGAAGTGGTCTGGGTGCCAGGTCCAGCTAGGGTTAACCCATTTTTTAATAAACATAGCAGTTTCAGAGAAACTGCTATGTTTATTAATGGGTTAAGCCTTCCCCCAAAGCCTCTAGTGGCTGTCTCATTGACAGCCACTAGAGGCGCTTGCGTGCTTCTCACTGTGATTTTCACAGTGAGAGCACGCCAGCGTCCATAGTAAAGCATTGTAAATGCTTTCCTATACGACCGGCTGAATGCGCGCGCAGCTCTTGCCGCGTGTGCGCATTCAGCCGACGGGGAAGAACGGAGGAGGAGAGAAGGAGGAGAGCTCCCCGCCCAGCGCTGGAAAAAGGTAAGTTTAAACCCCTTTCCCCCTTCCAGAGCCGGGCGGGAGGGGGACCCTGAGGGTGGGGGCACCCTCAGGGCACTATAGTGGCAGGAAAACGAGTATGTTTTCCTGGCACTATAGTGGTCCTTTAAGAGCTCAGTGTCCCTCACAATCTTATGCTCTGTATAGTGATTATGAGCACTGCTGATGTATGATATCTTAACTCTTTGGCTTATGCTTTGATCAATTAAAAGAAACCTTCAAGCACCGTAACCACTAAAGTGCGCTGTAGGAGTAGCCTGGGAAGTTTTCTAATAAGGGGAACTGGTAAGAGATGCATCATGCCTGCACCCCCATCAGTACAATTGAAGGAGCAGAAAAATTGATCTGCACCTACAGGAGGTGCAGAACAAATTAACTAGCTCCCTTCTTTCCTTTTGCATTAGGATGGCCAGGCCAATGTGGGAGATATTTGGTGTGGAACCAACTCTCTGGGCCAGCTCAGGAGATCCTTTGATCCATTTGCCCCTTTTGCCATATGGCCAGTCTGGCCCTGTTTATATATTATGCTGAGCAATCAAACTTAAATAACCACAGTCCTTACAAAAAACAGTTATCCCCTATAAAAGAAACCATCACACACCTCAAAAAATTCAACACCAAAAAGGACTTGGTAAATCACTTTTTTAACAACTAACCAATACCAAGATTAGCAAGGTGTTTATATATGACCAGAACAAACACCACAAACACTTATTTCTTAACACTTGCGACTGCATGAGGTGTGAAGTATATTGTTTTTATATAAAATAATAAAAGCAGAGCCAGCCATTAGCACCGAAAAAATTAAGCAACATCTATTCACAGAAGGTAGCTAAATGCTCAAATCATGATTCCTCTTTTTCCAGATAAAAGTTTTTTTAATTTCTTCTATGGAAACCAACAAGTGGCTTTTAAATAGTGTCTTTTGTCTTCTTATACCTCTTTCAAAGCCATAAAATATCATTAAGGGAAATGGGAGGAGCTAGGACATGGACATTTAGGACACCAATGAAAATCAGTCAGTGAAATGCTAATTTTTATGGGTCTAGAGGTAAAGTTTAGGACACAATGGTGATGTGATAGACAATGCTTTAAGTACAGTTCTTTTTCTTATTCTAAATCAAGCTACAGTTGTAGAAATAAAGAGTTATTACTGAGAGGTTTAAAAGATTGATCATTTCTATGGCTTCTAATTGTGCTCTTTTAAGTATATATATATATATATATATATATATATATAAAAATATTAATTCTTAACTCAACCATCATATCTATAAACGTCTTCTTGCCTCTGATACTTTGTTCATCCGCGTGTGTCAGGGGCGTACCTGGAGATATTGTGAAAAATAAATTAGGTATACAATTAATACAGTGGCAGATCCAGAGGAGGGAGCACCAGGGCTAATGTGCTACATAGACACCAGAGAATCTTTTGTCTTGTTGGCAGCTGAAATTAACAGAGGGGCTCTTCGCACTCTGTCCACAAAGGCCGTCTTCCAAATTATTTTAGTGGATATATCACTGCAATTTCACTGCAATATGTTTTGCCATTATGAGTTCAATTACTTTTGTTTCTCTTTATGCAGCCCCTGGCTGTGACTCACAGAGACAGATAACCCGTTAGGCTACCATGGCCTCTTCAAAGGCGTACTCAGAGTCCCTCAGCGTGTCTTGATGACACAGGTGGGTGGGGGAGAACATACATACACAATACCATTGTATCGTACAACTCTTAACCAGCACGTGCAGACACACTCATCCTCCCCCAAAACAGCCCTCATCCACCTCCACACACTCTCACACACAACACAACCATGACAAAAACACATCACTCACAGTGCTCTAGGAGGGGCCCCCAATCTGGCATCCTGCCTAGGGCTTTTGGCAACCTTAATCCGGCTCTGGTGACTCACAGTCTCCTTGAAAAAAAAAGGGTTTATTTTCAATTAACTCTTACAGCACAGTGTGTTTACTTTAGACATTCTTATCGCCTGCACATACACACAGACATACACATACACACAGACACATATGCATACAGAGACACATACATAAACACAGACAGACTCATAGATACATACACACACACAAAACACACATACATACAAAGACACAGACAGACACACACATACATACAGACAGACAGGCACACATACATACATACAGACAGACAGGCAGGCAGGCATACATACAGGCAGACACATACAGACAAACACACCCACATACAGACACACACACAGACACACAGACACATACATACACAGACAGACACAAACACACAGACACATACATACAGACACATGCACACACAGAGACAGACACACAAACACATACACACATACAAACAAACAAAAACACACATATACAAAATGTTTAAGTCACCCTCCTGTTTCCTACCTTTTAGGTGCAGGATAGTGACTTTCCCTGGGGTCCAATGGTTGCTCAGGCTGGTGGGAGTCAGAGTTCCAACTCTGACTCCCTGGAAAGGTTCCTATCCTGACAAGCAAGACTTTTTCCGTTTGATACTGTTCCTTTAAATTCCAGTACCTGTTTCTCGCCTCTAGTGGGCTCCCTAGCCACTAGTCACCTCCAACTCTCACCTGTAGAACAGGAAATCAAGTTCTGCTATAAAAGGCCACACCCGACAAAGCAAGGGGCCTTGACATTGAAGTTTGATGATTACCTGAAAAGACTTCATATCCTGGCTCCTGATATAACCTGTGGAATTTCCTTATTGGCTACTTGTCCTGCAATACTCACCAACCTGCTCCAAACTTACCTGTACAACTCTTCTTCCTGCCTTATCTACAAACCTATCTGAACTTCCTATCTTCCTACAGAACATGCAACTTGCCTAAATCAACACTGGACTTTCATTTACTTTGTGGATATCTGTTTACTACTTCCTCGGATTTACTTATATTCCAATCTACTTTGCATCCATCACAAAGGACCTACTTCTACTATATAACTTCTTACCCAAAAGAGACTGAACAACTGCAACCCTATTTAAGTATTTATATTATTTCTGTCTAGTTTTACTTAGTTGTTTGTTTTTTATCCTTTTCTGGGGCATATTGCCTAAGTCCTGTTTTCCTATTTCTCCTGGATATATAACCTATAATCTCTGTTATAGGTTATCCTCTATTATATTTCCTATAACTTCTTTTATAGAATTACCTTATTGCAACTATGGGCATATTGCCTAAATCCTATTTCTCCTGAGTATAGAATCTATAATCTCTCTTATAGGTTTATCTTCTGTTATATTTGCTATATCTACAATGTATAGGATATTCTGTTTACTAGTATGTCTAAGTTATCAAATAAAGACCCTTCAATTAACCCCAGTTTAAGTCTCATCCCTGACCTGCACAAGATCATGACACTCCCTCTCCTTCCTCCCGTGCGGGCTCTCACTGATCGCTGAGAGGAGAGATGGACAGTCACTTCCTCCCAGCTGTGATGTCATCACAGGGGGCCCGGTCATGCTGTTAAAGTGCTGACCAGGCCCCCTGGATATTCATTGCCACCGGGTGGCCCTAACAGTATGGGCCACCCGATTGGCCCCTGGAACGTGTGGCCCCGGTGGTTTGCCATGCAGGCCGGGGCCGCAACACATGGTGGCGGGCACCCAGTTGCAGCTGCAATCCCTGCGACCACGGTATGTATGCCACTGGTGAAACTGCAGGGGCATGATCTATACACAAAAACTGCTTCATTAAGCTCAAGTTATTTTGGTGCTTAGACTGACCCTGTAAAAGAAATTGCCTATACATACAAGGGAAAGGGGGAATTTAAATGATTTTTCAGGCCAAAATCAGGTTAATATCTCTGTGCTTTACTAACAGCCTTCTTACTACTGCTGATTAGACGTGTAATTCGTTTTGTTCTGAATGTACATTCGGATGAATTTCGTGCAATTCGGACATTCAGATGCTTACGAAAGTCCGAAGTTCGAATTGCCGACTTTCCGAAGTGCCGCACCGAACCGAAGTGCTTCGGATTTCTCAAAAGTGTAAAAACAAGTGGTTAGGGTTAGGGGTTAGGGCTAGAGTCCGAAGTTCCGAAGTGTCGAACCAAATGCCATTGGTCCGAATTGCCGAAGCAGACTAATTATTTTACTTACCTGAATTTCCGAACCGAACCAAATTTTTTTGCATATGCACGTCCCTACTGCTGATGCTAGTCACTCAATGCTGGTACCATTAGAGAAAAGGAATATTGGAAAAGTTATACCAGCTGATGAGACTTAAGGAATGGAAGATGGGCATGGGAGGGAAAATGGGCAGATGTAGAATAAAAAGTCAACGTGGAATGAGGAAGGCAAAATGGAAATGTAATGAAGAGGGCAATTGGGAGAATTGAAATGGATAAGATGGAGTCAGAAGGATTGAATCAGAAAATGAAAGAATAAAATGTGAATATATACCAGGAAGAGCAAGGATAAAATTGCAAGATGAAATTAGGGAGAATACATAAGGTAGATGAAACAAGGATGGGGAGAGAAAAAAAAGACTGAATGAGAAGAATATAAAGGGACAGGTAATTAGAGGGCAATAGTGGAGATAATAAAAATGGAGATGAAATGAATAGGTTGGAAAAAAGCAGACACTGAATTAGAGGCAAAATTTTGATGGAAAGGGGAAAATATTAAGGCGAGCATTTGATATTTCTCTGTGAGAAGCATTGCAGGCAAACTTTGAGGATTGTCGCCCATGTGCCCTGCCTCCCAATGTTTTTCCATGAGAAACATTGGATTGGCCAAATCGATACTTATGATCTCCTGGTGGGCAGAGCAGAGCTGCGGCAGGGTAGTGTCTCATTGCTAGATCACAGGTAAGTAACCCTTTATTTAGGGCACTGCAGGGGGTGATACTAACCTAAATCTAATTTAAATATTCCAGAGAAATGGTTTCATTTGCAACTCTGAGGCATTCCTTTAATATTTACACAAACTGGTGTACTCACTCAAAAGTAATTGTGCAAATTTTAAACCAAATTAGCCAATATATAAAATGTATTCCAAAACTTATTTTCCCAGCATGCTTGTTTAAGCCTACAATGTGAAATATTCTTGCCAGTTCTTCGATATTTCGCATTTATTAAATAACTCCCAAAAATTTGTATTTGAAAATGTCTGTTTTCCCTCTCTAATTTACTCTTTATCAGCACACGTTTGCCTCAATCTCATGATCAGTTCTTGTCCTTCCCTGGTGCGGCCTTGCCTGACTCAGCTAAGGCACACGCTTCCTTTCTACCCTACAAGCCTGGAGTTAATTGTGAGACAATTGCAGACAAGCCACCAACTCCATCTATTTGCAGAGAGGTGACCTGGGGTCAGTGAATACCAGCATTCAGAGGCTGTTGTAGAAGGACAGATGTCAGGGGGTACAGTCATGCTCTGTACAGATGGGCTTGAGCCGTTTGTGAACAGATAAATAGCAAAAGAGCATGCAAGCATAAATAACAAAGTGAATAGGTTATGGGGGTGTGAGACGGATAGCAGTTTGGAAGTGTGGCATCGTGCGCAGGGAGCATCCCCCTGTCTGCGGTATCATAAATTTCCAAATAAAAGTAATTCCCCAGACTGCCTCCTTTAGCTTTCAGGGAGATAATCACATATAATAAAATGGTATATTATACAATGTTTTGGTAGTATATGTTGGCCCTATTATGTCGCATTTGCTAATGAAAAAATACATCAAGTATTTTTTTAAAAACATTTTTACATTTATCACTAGTAGTAATGCATGAAAAATATAACAAATGGTTAATAAATGTAAAATTTGCGTAAATAGATTTTTAAGCATTTTGGAAAATGTTTCTGGCAAACCGTGAAGCAAATAAAATTAGCATCAATAATATATTTGTTAATATTGTTCAGGTATATAATTAATAATTCAAATATGAACAAATTAAAATAGAGATAACTATGCCATTATTATATTTATGAAAGTGTTAATCTTCGACTATATTGGAAGAAAAAAAAATACATGAGAATTATAGTACAAAAATACCTATTTTGCTAATTTTGCTATAAAAAAGGTTAACGGTATTGCTAAAATTGACATGGTTATAAAGTATGATTTGAAGCGAGGCTGAAAACTATTGATGGGAGATGTACTATATAAACGGAATACGTTCTTGGGAAAATTTGGAGTGCACCAATTATAAATGGAAGGATAGATAGGGGCACTTTTTCAACTTACTGTTATTTTAATGGTATTTCTTATTTACCAGATTTTAAGAGGATATGAAGGATAATTTTTATATCCAAGAATACATCTGTTGCATTATTATTGTTATAAAGCAACATCTTTTTCCGTGATACAATAAAACTGTCAAAATGTGTAAGAAATAAGGGGAACAGATTTTAAAGAGTTCTAAATGATCCATGCAACTCAGGTTATACTTTAAGCCTTAACAATACCTGAACCATTAAACAGTCCAGCAAAGTATCCATTAAAATGGGGGTGGAAGGAGGAGGAAGCAATGGCTTTTTCTGTATCAAAACCACTGTTCTTTAGAGGTGGGCCTGATTAGTTAAGTAGGTAATCTGCCTTTATGCTGTGCTACAATGCATCTGTTAAATATTGGGATGGAATTGCAAAGCTCATTAAACAGCTTTCTGCTTAGCTGCACCCTAACATAGTCCTACAAGACTTTAATAAACTTCAAGCCAGGCATTACCATGCAGTAGCCATGTGCAGGATGCCTCCTTGTAAATCACATCTTCATTAGACATTTCCCTGAAGCCATTTGACAATAAACCTGTCCTATTATCCTCCTCTTAGTAAAGTAGCGTGCAGAAAAAGGCATCAATGGAAATCTTTTTCCATAAAGGACCCGTGAAATTTCTCCTTTTTCACATTAATGGACACACTTTCTATTAGACTCATAAATATATTGGGGTGAAGAACGAGTGAAAGGGTCCTTTGAAGTGTGGTTCTTTTTAGAGAAAGAGAAAAGATATTTTATTTCTGAGCAGATAATGTCTTTGATGATTGTTCCGACCTCTGGATGGGTGTGTTTGATGTACACTGACGGCATAAGTGATGTATGGGTAGTAAAATAATCTCAGGAGAAAAGCTACATATGGTCCCATAACACAATATTTTCACTGAGTGTTGTCAAGTGCGCTACTGATTAAAAGTATTTTATTATATTTAACAAGAGTATAAAAAAGTGATGGCTGATGTTAAGGGGGTATTTAGAGGTGAATGTAATCGACATGTAGATAAACAAGTGTGTAATAACAATTACTATATAACGGAGACTACAATACAGAAATATGGCATTGTTAATAAAGCATTGTGTGTTTTTATACTCATTATCAACATATATTACTTCAAGAGTCTTGAAAAAAGTCACTTGTAAAGGAACAACCAGTCCATATCAAGAGTGCTGTAAGAAAACAATTAAAAGTCTTCAAGTGAGCATGCACTTGAAAATAAATAGATTTGTTCAATAAAACAGTATTTACTCATAAATCTTGTATCACAGATTTTATTATTAAAGTATAAATTTAATTTGAAAGGTTTTTCATAATAAAAAAAAAAAAGATTTAAATAAAAAAACAGAAAAGCAGAGGACTCTTTTAATTGGGAAACAGCGGCAGTGTCTCACTCCCACTCCCCCCAATGTTTTTTTTCTTTCAGTTACTGTTTGTTAAGGTTTCATTGTGACCTAATACACAGAGCTTGAATCTAAATACTATTCAACCAGAACAGGAAAGATTTGTATTGCATGTACTTGGAATGACTGGGCTAAAAGTAACACTCCAGGAACCATAGCAACTTCATATCAATTAAGTTGTTATGGTCACTCATGGTGCCAGAACAACTTGACCACCATGCTTTAAGGAAGTGGAATTATTGTGTGCAGTGATGTACCTTTTTTATGACAAATGCCATTATAAATGGTGATAGAGTGGTTATGTGCTCTTTTGAATGTCACTGTTAGTGTCACTATGAGTCTATCATACATGACATGTAAATTCTTCCATAGGCAGGCTGGCAGTCCCTGTGTCCAAGCATGTCTACTGCTGCAAATCAACAGTCCCAAACATGCCTCATTTTGGGCCCACCCCTCATTTCTAATTTCAGGTCTACAAATTTAGAGAGATGTTTGCTCTATGACTGTTGTGATGTTGCAGGTAGACTCTGGATCATAACATCTATCACAACAATGTAATAACATGTAGGAGCACCTTAAATATGGCAAATAAGTTAGATTCTATACTAAACAGTGACATGACAATTAACTAGTAAAATTTAGACCATAACAGCAGAGTAAAAGAATGGTTGGAATTCTCCAATTCTATTTTTGCCAGAATATTGCAACTTATTTGTCAGCTCACATCATCTTATTAATGGGTTAAAACAACAACATGATTAAGGTAGTTTTATTAAATTGTAAGAAAATATTTATTTAATTGTAAAAGAATAACAGTTATATTGGTTTTTTTTTATTATTTAAAAAAAAAAATTATTTTACAGACTTGCTAATCATAATTAGTGTGTATATTATAACATGTTGAAAAATTCTTATATAATAGAAAGTGCTTTGCCATTGGGGGTTGTATTGTTAAGGACAGGAAAATAATTTCTGACATTTACAATGCCTCATTATTCCAGTCTTTCTCTTGGCAATAAGAGATGTAAGTTTTAACAAGAAAACAAAACAAAAAAAAAACATAGTGGCAGATCTATTTCTTATTCCAATCTAAAATGTAAGGTATGAATTTTATTTTAAATATAAATGGACAGTAGTCCAAGAAATAATGAAAAAAATAAAGATAAAGTATTAAAATATGCATTTCCAGCTCAATGTTAATAGCTTGGGTTAGTGTCTCCTTGTGATTGGATAACATTTGAAACAAGGCATTGTGAGCTCTCTTTGTATCTATTGTGAGGGGCTGTATATAAATAACACAAGCACGGCAGGGACCCAAGTAATAGCAGCCGGCTGGTGAATGAGGGTATCTGCTCAGAAGGACTAACTCCCCCCAGAACATTTGCAATTTTAGCTACAGCTAATTCTCTTCTAATCCTGCAGACCCTAATCTGAATAGTAATCAGTTCACAGAATGGATTCAGACAGCCTGTCCAGTCGGTCCTCCTCGCCTGAGTTGTTGAATGGAGAGAACACAAAGTACTTGCCTGGGGAAATGTTTCAAACGTTATGCATGGGGCAAAGGATGACTACTCGGGGAAAAACAAGAACTGGCGAAAATAATACTTCTCAGGACAACGTCCATGAATTACGACTGAAGGTGAACAGTCGTGAGCGTCAACGCATGCACGACCTGAATCAAGCCATGGATGGACTGAGAGAAGTCATGCCATACTCTCATGGACCCTCTGTACGCAAGCTTTCCAAGATTGCCACCTTGATGCTGGCACGTAACTATATCCTCATGCTGTCCAGTTCCTTGGAAGAGATGAAGAAACTGGTGAGTGAAGTATATGGCGGACACCGTACAATTGGCTGTACCAACTCTCTGCCCCTTCACCACATAGCACATTTACCTCCAGTGATGGGTTCCATACCTCCCTCAGACATTACCAAATACTCAGGACCAGTGATGCCAGACATCTGCCTCCCTCCTGCTGTTAACCATTTTTCAGGACTGCTCTGTCCAAGTGCCATCTGCCAGACCCTGCCACATCCGCTGTCCAGGACTGTTGCCACTTTTCCATCTCAGTGCTCTGGAAAATGATAATCAGAATGTTGCTAAGAGACGTTATTAGTGTTATTTCAGTCTGTGTTTCCAAATGACTCCTGACTCTGTAAATCAAAAGCTCCAAACACACATGATAAATCTACGGCTCCATTTAAACTATGATTTCTACAAGCGCTGAAGGCAATGTATCAAGACATCTCTAATAAGCAGGTGGTACATAGCTATAAATATTCTTGCGATTAATCCATTCTTACCAAAATCATATTTTTTTTTTAAACATGCCTGCATATCCCATTGTGTGAATGTTCCCTCCAATATATTTTATTATATATAAGCTAATTTTTATAAATAAAGTATTAAAATGCAAATCTGCGTCTTTGTTTTACTCAGACTGTGGCTGATTACACAAATACATACTGACAGAATGCTAATATTTTTTCCACGTGTAATAATACAAATCAGAACAGAGTCAAAATTATCACATACTACCGACTTAAAAGGGAAAAATGTTATCGACATTACCGACCCAGATAAGTAACTATTAAAGTAGTGTTTTGGGTGACATCAAGGTGTTAAATCATTTTATTTATTTTTTATTTTTTTACAGTAGTTGATGTTACATTGTGTTCATTTTAAATGTATGCAAGTAAAACAGAATTCTCACTAAACTTTGAATTTGTGGAGAACTGCAAATTTTAGGCTAAAACAGCTGAGTTGGAGTGTTTTTACAATTTGTCCAAAATGTTATAATTGCACTACAATTCCCAATAATTTGTTTAGTGGATAAACCCTGTTTAATATTGCCAAGGCCAAATAAAGAATCGTATTGAACTGAAAATGAATTGCTAAATTTAGGGTAGAAGAATCATGAGCTAATTTGCAGATTTTAAATGAAATGAAATTGGACTGGTTAAAATCTTAGTTGGATAATATATTATAGTGAACGCTCTGCTGATATAGGTTAATTTAGTGAGTCATGAGAAGCAAGGGTGCTAAACGAGAAAAACCTGTATCCCCACCAGATAACAATCATATAGAATAAATCCCAAGCACACCAAGACTTATTGCACATAATAAGTTTCTATGTATTTAATGAATACCAACAAAGTGCTTATGTGCAAAACAAAACAGCAAAAACATGTAAATATGTACATAACTGCATAGATAACAATAAAGTGATCTAGACATACAGTGCTAACAATATAAACCCATATATATATACCAATAAACATAGGGTATACTGACCTAGAGCTGGAGACTCTAGGTCAGTATACCCTATGTTTATTGGTATATATGGATTTATATTGTTAGCACTGTATGTCTAGATCACTTCACTGTTATCTATGCAGTTATGTACATATTTACATGTTTTTACTGTTTTGTTTTGCACATAAGAACTTTGCTGATATGCATTCATTAAATACAGAGAAACTTATTATGTGCAATAACTCTTTGTTTTCTGGGATTTATTCTATTCTAAAATCTTTGATAAAATACAGCCCTGATTTATATATTTTGAGTGAATATTTCTAAATTAACCTTTGATCTGTCAAGGCCACTGTTAAATACAAATTATAATCATATTTTATTAGATTTCATTAATTTATTGCTTATCTAAACAGTCCCAGATTAGCAGCGATTTCTAATATGTGCTCCTTTCCTCCAGTCCCATGTCTGCACTCTCTACCAGGGAAATGGTGCAAAGGTACTGTTAGACGTGCTCGTACTGTGCAAAGTTTTCTGAGGTCATTCGCTTACGCCAGAACTCTTCAACCAATCTCTGCGCATTGAATGCCCACCTACCATCTTCCCCATGTTGGGAGGTATGACGCACACTCTATGCATGCACCCATGTTAGGTAAAAGTTTGTTATGATTTTTTTCTAATAAACAGATAACATTTAAAATAGATTTTAAAAAATTTACTCTATAAGGGCCAACTATGGCACCAACAGCACGTTTCTTTGAAATTTCTGCAGTCTTGCCATAATAAATAAGGCCCATTTTCTAATAAGGTCCATAAATATAAACAAATCATTTGTTTTATTAAGATATTTTATTATTATTAATGCCCAAGATTAAACTGGAAATATAAAAGGCACAGTCACTTGTGTGGTCTTTGCATTTTTTCAAAGACCACACAAGGTGACATGTTCAATTAGATAGAGGTAGTAGAGGGAGAAGCAGATAGGGAGATATATGTCCCTTTAGGGGACCTATAGTGCCCAAACAACTACAGCTTTTTTTTTTTTTTTAAAGCATTGCATTCAATCTAAACATTGTTCTAGCAGTTTTGCTAGCAAATGAGATTGGGAGAGAACCTATTTAAAAATAGGCTTTTCTCCCACCTGTTAATCAATTCCTTAATTCAATGCCATAGAATTAATTGATGAAGGAGAGCAGAAGAGACCTTCCTAATGCTCTCCACCCATAGCAACCACAGCACATGTGCTGTGATTGCTATGGAAACCCCCTAGCTGCCAGTGCTGGCTAAGGAGTACACATATTGTGCGACATGATGTCACTCTGTTCAAAGGCTGGCATGCTGGCAATGCCAGTAATTAGCAAAGGAGAAGCACAGGCAAACTGGAGAGCAGCAGAGGAGGAGCAAGGGTGGACCTCTCTATTGTAATGGTGGCAATGCAGCGGATGCCAGGGTAAGTGGCTACTGGTTCCGTTTAAGCAGTCCCTCCTCAGCACCCCCATCTTCTTAGCACTGCACTTTAGTCATTATCACTGCTGTACTCTCACACATGACTGAGGGTGATCTATGGAAAATCTCACCACATAATTTTGCACATATGCAATAAGGTGTAATTTGCATTTACTGCACATAGCACAAGATAATACATATTCCAATCAGCCTGATGCCTAATGGGAAATGGGAAATTCTGTCTTTTGCCAAAGATTTTCTCTTTTTCCAGCGCAGATGTATGATTTTTTTTGGCAAGTCAAAGGAGTTTATTCACTAATTAAAAATGTAATTTGAATGGCAGAATCTAGACTAAAACAGCTTATCTGCAAAAATTATCAAGAAGCTCCAGTCACATGTAGACTATTTCAGTCTAACGTTTGACATTCAGATTCCGATTCTCTTCAATTCAGGGTTCATAGGAAATTAAATTATTTTTTTTTTAAATAAATCCTGCGCTGAAAACATTTTTTTTATCAGCTATTTTTAAACCTAAAATTTCAAAATCACTTTCAATTTCCAATAATTTACACTTAATAAAGTTATTCACTAAAGTGGGACATGTAGAGGAGGGGGGGGGGGCGTGATCGACAGAGCAACTAAGCAGACGTCTCTATGTATGGCTCTGCATGCAAACCATAAAAAACAGTGCTTTCGCTTCATAACTCAACCACGGACAACCTTGCCCTGTCTGCTAATGATGTTTGAGTCATATGGAGCCCTAGCTAGATACAAACTCAATCTATCTAAATGCAAAATACTCAACGTATCCCTCCCCAACAACGAGAGCAAACTCATCCGACCTAGGTTTCCTTTTCACTGGTGTACATCCCAATGAAATATCTTGGAATTTGGGTGACGACAGATCCGACACTGCTATGCCAGACGAACTTCACACCCCTGCGCCAGAAAATATAACAGGATCTTAAGATGTGGAACTACCCTCACATCTCATGGCTAGGTGATATAGCTGCAATGAAAATTAGTGTCCTTCCTAGGCTTTTATACCCTTTTCAAACAATTCCATTGGCATTACCGATGACGTTCTTTGCGTCACTTCGCTCGGCGACCATACGATACGTCTGGCGAGGGGAAAGATTGCGGCTTCGACATGCACTACTCTGTCTACCCAGGGACTACGGCGGTTTGGCCCTACTGGATTTCATTAAATACCACCAGGCTGCCGTCCTACAGAGAACCTTTGAATGGCATTCACACCCCAAGTGGAAACAATCGGTGACATTAGTTAAGGGCCATCTGGATAACTCCCGGGTGTCTGACAGGAGGGGACAGCTGTGCTGCTCTCCTCATGCCTGTGTGTAGCGTGGCCAAGCTGTCAGGAAGTGCTCACTAAGAGAGCCCTTCCTGTCAGACCGGGAAGCAGCCCCCCGTGTTTCTCCTGTCATAGGGGGGCACAAGAGGTGGCCTTCTGGCCACCTAGTGGACCCCCCCCGGCGGGCGCCTTTGTTCTTGGCAGAGACAGCGAGGGAGCTGTGTTCTCTCTGTTGTGCTCCCTAGCAGCCATAATAGGTAATAAATATATTCATCCATGACAGGTGCATTCTGTATTGAGGTATATTGCCATAGATCTCTTAAATGATTTTAGATTGAATGAAGATTCGACTTTGTCATTGAGGTTATTCCATAATTGCAGCGCCTTGTAGGAAAATGAGGATTGCGCCACTTTCTTTTTGTATTGTGTTATGCTAAAAAAAGTGTTGGTACTGGATCTGAGGTCATAGGAGGTGGGAAAAACTGGGGAGAGCATTCTACTCTGGTAGGGTGGGAGCTTCCTAGAAATGCTCTTATGCACAAGGCTGGAAAGACGAAGAGTGCATCGGGATTCCAGCGACAGCCAGTTTAGCTCTTTTGACATGTCAAAGTGGTGGGTCAAGTAATTACATTCTAGTACAAAGCAGCAGAACTAGAAATGCTGGGGATTCAAAGCGAGTTTGACATTTTAGGCCACATATGAAAAAATAAAATCTCTTTTTAGTCTGGCTATCTTGTAAATCTGAAATAAACTTTGACTTCCCAACAATTCACATTTGTTTTAACATACCAGTGAATGATAGCCTGTTTTTATAGTATATACCTCACTAATGGCTAGTCTTTAGCCTTCAAGCTGCGTTGAATCAAACCACTCTCATTATCCCCATCTGGCAGTGTGCTGGCTGACTGCAGAATCCACATCAGCATCTTCCAACCTATCCGCAGCACTACACTGACACGGCCACCAGGGGGAGCACCTCCCGGCCACGCCCCCTCAGGCTCCCGATTGGTGCTAGCCAGACGCCGGAAGTACAGGAGCAAAGTTCAGTAAATATTGGTGATGTCACGAAGCC